CGTCCTGGTGCAATTTCACCGTGTCATGAGCATCATAACAGCACAATTATAAATCTCACTAGAAGGTACAGGTGTCAAGTCGAACCGGCTCCTCAGGGTGGATGATGAGGATCCTAGAGGGGGAGGGGAAGACCCTTCCCCCCCCAGGAGGGGAGGTCCCTTGGAGAGGGAGCACCACAGGGCTTGGGAGGAGGAGGTGGAAGACATGGTTCCCTGCATGGTGCTGAGTCACCACAGACACTGGGCTGGGGATTGAGAGAGAGGAGGCAATCATGCATGATGGGAGTGGCGGTGAGGCTGCCAGCCAGGTGTCCCTTCCTGTCCCCAGACTCAGTGCCCTTAACCTGCCCTTGGCTTCCCAGATGAATCAGCAAGTTCCAGTGTCTGGGGTTCATTGCGACACTTCCCCCGGGCCGACTAGAGGATCTTGCGCGACATTAAGTAACGCACCTGGGAGTACAGGAGGCTCAGAAAGCCAGCAGCAGCCTTGGGACAAGGGTCATCGAGGGCCAAGCCTGTGTCTCTGTGTGGAGACCGCCCCAGCCCAGTCCCCAGCTAGCGCTGGGAACTTGGGGATGGGGGTGCTTCCCAGACTTGGCTGAAAATCAGCACTTCGGGTACAAGCAGTTGAAGAAATACAGTTTCAAGGCAGCAAATCCTCATAGAAAATGGACGCAGGTGTGCCCCGTTTTAAGCCACCACTTACAGGAAGAGTGAAGAGCCACCAAGGAGAAACGATGGGGTTATTCCTCATTCTAGAGAAGGCTGCTCCTCGGGGACGTTGCGCATATGTGAACTGGAAATCATTGCCTTTGTAAATACTCAGCTTCCACATAACAACCATTTGCAATGTGGCACTCCCTGATTTATAGTCTGCCTTCAAAGACACAAATACTTTCTCCCATATATACTCTCCTCAGATTCTCAGAGGACCCTGTGAGGTACCTATAATGATCGCCGTGTTACAGATGAGAAACCAGAGGCCTGGAGTGGGTAAGTCACACAGTTCAGCCGGGCCTACGGACCTGAAGCTCTTCCCAGCACATCACGCTGTCCCCGCATGATTCCTACAACGGCTCTGGGAGGCTGATCCAGGGCCAGAGCTATGATCCAGGTAGCAGATGAGAAACCGAGACCCAGGGAGGTGAAGGCTCCAGACAGATCCCGACTCTGAGCCCAGCCTTTGGAGTCAGACAGACGTGGGCTCGTGACCTGGGTTCACCCCTCACTAGCTCTACTTGGCACGTACTTGACCCCTGTGGGCCTCGGTTTCCTCATCTACACAATGGGGATAATAATACCTCCATGCTGGGGAGCTGCAGGGTGAACCAAGTGATGGATGTTATTGCTCAGAGCAGCGCCTGACACGTCACTGCTATTATTATGCCTGTCATTCTCGTTATTTTTACAGTATCTCACACTTCTTATGTGAAATGTCCACAGAGACGTGTGACAGAGAGTCTCCTCCAGGGACAGGCAAGATGTCACCCCCTCCCTCAGCTCAGCCTCTCCCTCCCCTCCGCACCCTCACCCCATCCAGAAGGTCACACGGGGCTGCTTCTCTCCCAACCCCTAGGAGCCTCCCTGCCACCTCCTGGCCCGCCTCTCAGCTGACCAATGCCTTGGCTGCGGATGAATGGCATCCCCCGTCGCCTGCCCGCTGCGTGTGGTCACCCTGCCTCCGCCTGCGGCAGGGCCTGGAGCCGGGACGAGCCTGGCAGGCTGCCAGTGCTTCCTTGGTAGGATGCCCCGGCCCTCCCTCTGGGCCCCTCTATTCTGGGAGCTGTAATTTAGACAGGCTTCCCTACCCGAACTGCTATCTGTGGCAGCAGTCACTGTTCCCAGGGGCCCTGCCCACCCCCCGCTAGACTGCCTTTTTGTAAACAGCTCCCAGGCTGCCCTGTTATCTTGGGCGCTGTGGCTCTGGGGAGGAGGCCCTGCCACCCTGGAGATATAAATGACCCCTCAGTGCTGGGGGAAGCTGGCCCGATGTGGGCAGAGGCAGGATGGAACCCATGGGAGCCCAATATAGCAGCCCTCAGGACCTGCCCCTGAAGTTGGCCAGGGCAGGTAGGGTGCAGAGAAGAGGAGAGCCTGTCATTATCCCCCCAACACCCTGGGGACTGGGTCTGCCTGGGTTGTGGTCTCCCCAAAGGCCCCTGCTCAGCCACAGGGCCATGAAAAGAGGGGCAGTCAATAACAGCAACGAAAGTGATCTTTCTAAAACACAAGTGTGACTGTGTGACTCCTGAGCTCCAAACCTTCAGTGGTTCCCCAGGGCCCTTAGGGATGAAACTCACAAGACTCTCCACCCTCTGCCTTTTCTACCACCTCTCTCACCTCAGGACCTTTGCACAAGCCCTCCCCACTGCCTGGACACAGTTCTCCTCTTCATCGAACCCCTACTCATCCTGCAGGTCTCAGCTTAGAAGTCACTTCTCATGGAACCTTCCCCCAACATCACCACATACACTCATGCCTCCCTGGTCCTCTCCTTGGACTGGGAGGGGTGTCCTTCCCCTGCTCGCTGGAACCACAAGGCCCTTGCCTATGCACCTGTCTATGTCCCTAGCTGACTATAAGCCCTCCCACGGGAGGAACTCTGTCTGCTTATGTTGTTTGCCCAGCACCTCGCCCAGTCCTGGCACAGCAGGTGTTCAGGAAAAATTTGTTGAAAGAATGTATGAATGAATAAATGAATGGCTCCTCTGCCCCTCCAGGATGAGGGGGTCTCTTGAGGGGGGTTGCTACCTCGTGCCCTTCATTTTCCCAGAAAGCCTCATGTTCAGAGTTCTGTCCCTTTGTTCTCTAAGCGTAACTTCAGGCTTGCTGCACTGTCTGTCCATCCTCATCTGAAAAATAGGGTCGCCAGGGCCAGAGGCCTGCTGGGAGGGAGTCCTGAGGGGCTCTGGGATGCTCTGTAGGATAAGGCAGGCCTCCTTGGGTTGAGAGAGAGGAGAGCACAGAAAGAGAGAGTCCTCAGGCCATGGGTCACTTACAAGCAAGAAATCTGTGACTGGGGGGCAAGGCGGGTATGCATGGCACACAGCAGGGCAAGTGCTTATTCTGGCACTTTCTGCTGTGATACGGAGACATGCTTTGTATTTTGCTGGCTCCAAAGAGGGAAATCTAGAAGAATAATCTACAACTACAGCAACGAGGCTGGCGGCAGATGAGTCCCCGTTATCCCCATAAATTACTGGAGGGCCGCTGAAGTTTGACTATTCCTGCATCCAAATTGCCTTTCCTCCATCATTTCTCTCGTCCTGAAACTTCACCTGAATTTGTGCCAGATCATCTGCCCCAGATGGAGGGTAGGAAATATGGTCACTGCTGCCCCTTCCACCTCCTGCGAGCATGTGACTCACGCCCAGGAATACAGCCATGGAGCCAAGGGCTAGGGCCCAGGGCTTTTAGGGAGAGAACAAGAGAGCAGTGGGGGCTCAGCACGCCACCTCCCTGCTCCTGGAGGCCACATGACGAGGTGGCCAAAGAAAGCCAGGCCTGGTGAGGACAATCAATCTAGCAGTAAGATACACCAAGTGCGCATTCTGGGTGGATCACATGATCCAGACATGCTCTCATCTCTAGCCCTTCGCACTTGCTCTTCCCTCCGCCTGATGCTCTTCCCCTTAGATTTCTACAGGGCTTGAACTTCAGGTCCTTTTTCTTTTCTTTTTGGTGAGGAAGGTTGGCTCTGAGCTAACATCTGTGCCATGGGACACTGCCACAGCATGGCTTGATGAGCAGTGTGTAGGTCTGCGCTGGGATCAGAACCCGTGAACCCCAGGCTGCCAAAGCAGAGCGTTTGAACTTAAACACCACGCCACCGGGCTGACCCTCTCAGGTCTTTCTTTAACTGGCCCCTTCTCAGTCAGACCTCCCCTGGTCGCCCTATTTAAACTGAACCTCCCTCACTCCCATCCCACTTCCTTCTTTATTTTTCTCAAGAGCACTCACTGCTATCTGACATACTGGGTCCTTTCCCTTTCTCCCTCCCTTCCTCCCTCCCTTCCTTCTTCTCTGTCTCCTTTCTATAGAGTGTAATGTTGATTGTGTTTACAGATGTATCTCTGGTTTAGTCCTCTACTGCTGTATAACAGATGACCTTAAACATTTAGCAGCTTAAGACTATCGTTATATTATCTCCCGCAGTTTCTGGGAGCCAGGAATCCTGACGAGGTTCCACTCATCTCCAGGCCTGAATGGGGCAGGAGGGTCTGCATCCAAGCTCACTCACGTGGTTGGTGCCAGGCCTCAGGTCTGCCCTGGCTGCTGGCTGCAGACCTCTGTTCCTTGCCTCTGGGCCTCCCTACAGGGCACACAACATGGCAGCTTGCTTCCCCTGCAGCAAGTGATCCGAAAAAGATGGGGAGGGAGAGAGCCCCCAAGACAGAAGCCACAGTCTTTTTATAACCTATATTAGAAGAGATGTCCCTTTGCTTCTGCCCAATGCCAGTGATCACTCAGACCAACCCTGATACAGTGTGGGAGGGGACTGCAGGAGGGTGTGGACGCCAGGATGCAGGCATCATCGAGGCCATCTTGGAGGCTGGCTACCACAATTCCCAATACATATTCAGCACATAGAAGACACTCAAGAAATAGTTGTAGAATGAATGAACGAGGGCAGGAAAGACTTCAGCAGAATGCGTGGTCTGGGCCTCAGTTCTCATGGGGAGCTAACAGCCCTGCCCACTGCCCCATCCCTGCAGGATGCCAAACACGGTCGGCTTTCCTCACACCCCTCCCGGCCTCCACAGCGCCCTCTTACAATTAAACTCCACCTCTTCCCAGCCGTGGGACCTTGGGCAAGTTTCCCAACTCACAGGCCTGTTGTGGGTGTGAAAAGAGAGGAGCATGGAAGCACCACAGTGTCTGACACACACAAGCCCTCAGTGAATGCCCGTCATGGGCAGTACTGTGTGCTAGTACCGTGTACTCATACGGGAGGGAAAAACCAAAGTTCCTCCGTGGCGTCAGGAGCAGTTTGAGAGGTATGTGAGGGTGTGTTTGTGTGTTTCTATATAGGTTTGCTCTTCTGAGAGCAGCGGCTCAGAGGAGCTGTCCCACGTTGGCAGTGCCTTGGATGGATCATGTGGTCCAGATACCAGGTTTATCACTTGAGCCACAGACGGTCACGTGCTGGGGCCTTAGTCATCCAAACAGGCAGGACAGACTGGCAGACAGGCAGGACTGATGAGCACACGACTGCTGTCTATTTACACTGAGTAGCATGCGTCATACCAGTGGATCTTAATCTTTTTGCAGGGAGGGGTGGGGAGGTGGTGTCACAACCTTTTGAAAGTTGACGTGAAACATAAACATTTGGACATAAACACGAAAAAGTATATATAATCAGGCCATTCACAGATGGACCATAGACTGCGGCCTCCTTGAAGGTGATGACTGGAGCGTGTGTTCTGAACAAATGAATGAATGCATGCATGAATGAATGAAGAAAAAAGAGTCAACTGCCCAAAAGGCCAGAATCTTGGCATCTTTGCTGGTTTGCTACCCACATCTTCTCCCCTTGTGTCATTGCCTCAGGGGAACTGGTGGCTTCCAGAGACCTGCATTCAAGTTTTGCCTTCACCACCTTTCCAACTGTGTGACCTTGGACTTGTCACCTAACTTCTCTCAGCCTCATTTTCCTCATCAGGAAAATAATGTGAATTACAGAGAGTGTTCTGTAAGCTACAATGCCTACTGAAAACAGGAGGCACTCTTATTTTGGTAGGATTCTTATTCTGGCGGACGCATCTAGATTTAGGTAAAAGGAACTAAATGTTCATATCAACCAGCTCCCGTCAGCACAGACTGGCCTTGGGGATGGGGAGATTCCTGGGTGGGGTGGTTTGCTCAGAGAAAGGTGTGAAAGCACCCTGAGCTGCCAGCCCTGTCTGTTGTTAGCATATCCACAGTCCGATAGCCAGGTTCAGCACAACTGAGGCTGGGACAGCTTCCTTTGGTCTCATTCCAGGCCTGAGGCCACGCCCTGCACAAAGAGACGAGATTGAGAATCATGGGATCCTTCAGGCAACACATACTTCTTGAGCAGCTACTCTAGATCAATGCGTGTGCTAGGAGCGTGGGAGCAAACCCACTGTGGGCCCCGCCCTCTTGGAGCTGACGGTCTGATGGGATGTGGATATTAATCCGTCACCAGGAGCAGTACAGGGTGCCGTGGAGATGTTTAACAGGAGGTCCTGATCTCAGGGTGGGAGGGGGGTTGTGGGCAAGGCAAGTGTCCTTTCAGAAGTGACATATGAGCTGAGCCCTGAACTCAGTGAGGGGCCGTGGATGGGGTGGGAAGTACTCTGGGCAGAGGCCACAGCAAGTGCAAGGGGCCTGTGGTAGCTCATTTGAAAGTCTGAAAGAAAGCTGGTGTGGTTGGAGCACACAGAGTGAGGGCGATAGGGACATGAGATGCAGTTAGAGAAGCAACCAGGGACACAAGGCAGGGGAGACTAAATCGTCTTGTTCTCTTCAACGTGACATTTGCAAAGACAAAGGAACTGGAGTGGCAGAGTTCAAGTCTCTGAAAGCTCTTACACAGAAGAAGCGTGCCTCAGAAGCCAAATGAGAGGAAAAACCCCAGCAAGTGGAATTTGAGTCAGATGGCAAGGACTTCCTGGCCCAGAGAGGGCTCTGGGGCATTGCTGTCTCTACGTCACCTGTTGTGTCAGTCAGGTAGCAGAAAAGGGGTTCGTCCGTTTGTTCACTCCCTGCTCTGTCCTGTTCCCTCTGCCACATTACTCCCCATCCTTGCTGGGGCTCGTGGAGGACAGTGGCCAGCTCCGTCCGTCAGGGAGAGCCATGTAGAGAGGGCCTGGGAGCGGTGGGCGGGGAGTGGGGAGAGGGGAGAAGGCAGCACCATACGGCGTCTCTGGGCTGTTTCGGGGGAGGCGGAGAGGAGAGGGGCCGGGCAGGCAGCAGCAACCAAGAACAGGAGTCGGGGTGGGACAGGAAAGGAGGGTGGGCAGGATGGGGCATCTCCGGGGGGACCCCGCCCCTGGATTATGAGTCTCCTCTTTATCCTGGAGGCACCTCAGGTCCCAGCTGCCTTCCTGCTGAGGGACGAGACAGAATTGCCCTGGCGGTCACAGGTCAGGCAGATCTGCCAGTTGCTCTCTGACGCTCTTTTGGGAAGACCTGTTTGCATGGCTGGGTCTAGACTGTGAGCTCCCTGAGGGCAGGATCTGTGTCTTGTTCAGTATCACATGTCCCGATGCCTGAGGCAGTTAACATTTGTTGAATGGAAGACGCCACAAACAAATGAATACTGCACTGCAGTGATGGCGCAGAGAGCAGGAGACTGTCCCCAGCTACCGCTGGAGCCAGCTCTGAAGATCTGAGCCTTGATCTGTGTCACTGTCACATTCTTCCCAGGACCAAGGTAGGGGTGGGGCAGCCTATTCAGATCCAATAAAGGGCAACTCAGAACTGAGAAATTTTAAAGGCAGGCCATGTGATGTTCTGGTTAAGAATGTAGCTCTGCAGACAACTGCCTGCGTTCAAGTCTTGCTTCTGCCACCTCCTAGCTGTGTGAGCTTGGACAAACGACATACCACTCTGTGCCTCATTTTTCTCATCGGTAAAGTGGGGGAATTCATAGATTATAGGGTTGATGTGAGAATGAAGAGCGGAGCCTTTTAAAACACTGTTTGCACACAGCAGGTGCTCCATCCATGTGAGTGACCAGGAAAGAGATTTGTTCAGCCCTGGTCGCTAAGTCCCAGCACAAGGCCTCAGACCCAAAGGCCCTACAACAGATCTTGCAGGATTGTCTGAACGGGGACACTCCTGGTGGTCTCCACTAAGCCCACCTGCAACTGTCACCAGATCCCTGAGGGACCTTTGCCTTCTTCAGACAGAGAAGTGCAGACCTGGACATCTGGGGCTGACTGCCACTTGCTACACAGCATTCTTGGGCAAGCCACTTTCTTAATGTCCCCAAGCTTCTCCTTTTTCACTTGTAAAAATGAGAAGAGTAAAACCTTATCTGCCAGGGTTATTGTGGGGATTACACACCCAGTCGGTTGGTGCTCTGAACACAATCCTTCCCCAGGTGGAGTGTAGGGACCAACTGTGCAATCTGCCCCCTGACCGCCCCTGCCCCTCCCTCTCACCCCTGCCCCTCCCACCACCAGGTCACATTCCTGGACTCACTGGCTCTAACCTGAAAACCTTGGGCAAGAGTCACACCCTCTTTGTGAAGACCAGCTGGAGCGCTCCATCCCTGGGTGCCTGAGTCAGGGTTCAGCAGAGACTCCTGTCCCTGTCACCTCAGATGACTTCTGTCCCCACTAGCTCTCTGCCAGAATGACAGAACTGAGTGTGAAGGTGAACCCCAGGGGAGGAGAGGAAATCTGTGTGCTGGGCAGAGGCCTCAACCTGCTGGGCTAGGATGCGGGTGGGGTGGAGGTGGGAGGTGGGGTTCCCCTTCTTTCTGTCCCCATCTTTAGGCACATGGCTGATCACCCAACTTGCTTACTCACTGGCACGATGAGAGGAGAAAGTTTAAAGAGAGATAGGCTTGTGTCCTGGAAATCTTAGTGTAGGGGAAATGAGGAGTTTCTCCATTTGTCGCACAATGGCGCTCCTGTGTGCCTTGGTGTTCCCATCACTGGAAGGCAGAGCTGGGCGGTAAGAACTCGCTGTAGGCAGCGACGACATCGTCTGCCCACCCCTCCCCCACCCCCACCACTGAATTTGGAAACAAGGTTGAAAGGGTCACTAATTGCATCAAAGGGTAAGGATTTGAATATAGTGCCTCCTGGGGGCGTGGGGCCCTGGGCAAGTCTTTGATCTCTCTGAGTCTCAATTTCCCTGTTGTAAAATGGGCATAATACTGGAGTGACCCAGGCAGTGTGAAGGTTAAAGGAGGGAACACAAATGCAGCACAAAGGTGGAGCTGAACCCAGCAGGGGACTTGTTTCATTCAACAGAAAACATCTAAGGCCTACTGTGTGTCAGGGTCTATATGCTAGAGACTAAGGGGACATTAATAAATAAGATCACCATGGTCTCCGCCTTCAAGTTGCTTACAGGAGAGGAGGGGTGGCAGACACCGAATGAGAGGGACGGTGTAGGGTAATGGTTAAGGCGAGCAGGTTGGAAGCCCAGCTCTACCATTTACCAGCTGGGTGACCCTGGGCTAGCTCAACTCTTTGTGCCTTGATTTCCTGACGGTAAAATGAGCCATGCCCACTGCAGAGGGTGGTGAGGATTACATGAATTGACACCTGGAAAAGTATTTACAGCAACTACTGATGTGGATTAAGGCTGCCCCGGGTAGAGAAGCCCAAGGTGACCTGGCCGACATGCCCAACTATATGACCTGGTGGATTTTTATGGTATGAATTAGGGCTGCTCCAGGGAGAGAAGCCCAGGGCATCCTCGCCTACATGCCGATCTATATGACCAGATTCGTGTCTAAAGTTATATGACTGCACAATAACCACACCCCATCTGCACTGAAATCATTTAATGACTTTTTACATCATCTTTTCTTTTTCCAGTAAAAATAAGTCACGTACCCGTGCCTTATAAATTTAGCCCTAACCCTCAACTCAGGGCAGCAGCAGGAGCTCTGACTGCCCATGGGTCCTGTCCCCATGCAGCAACTCTTTACTGCCCATGGGTCCTGTCCCCATGCTACTCCATGCTATTCTCTAAATAAAAGAGCACCACTGCCAGACCTTGAGAGTCCAAGAAATCTTTCTTTCGACTCTTTGGCTCGCCGACCCTGCATCACTACTGTGTGCTCTGGCAGCACGCATGTGATCAGTGTAATAAAAGGAGCTTGCAGATATGTAACAGGGCAAGAGATGATGTGGGGGCTGAGCTTGCCCAGCAAATGGGGCGGGCACGTTCCTGAGGAGGGAGCTCCGGAGCAGAGAGCAGGGTGTGCTGGAGAGCGGGAAGAAAGGGTGAGGAGTGAAGGCAGGGCTGTGGGATGAAGGGGGGCAGCGAGCCGGTTTCAGGAGCTGGGGCGCTGGGAGTTACTTGTCAACAAGGGTTCTAAGGAGCAGGTTTGCAGCTTTAAAGCGTTGGTTCCCCTGTGCACATGTGGAAACACGGCACACATTTGTCTTGTCTATTAATGCCCTCCTAGCCCCCAGCACAGAGATGAGGGTAGTTCCTTGCTGACCCTGGCTCCCTCTCTGGTTTCCAGCCCCATCGGCTTCCAGATCACTCAGGGCCTTGAAATTCGCCGGCTATCTTCGAGGAGTGGAGCACGGGGAGACCAAGGGAGGACCGAAGTTCGACCCAGGCCTGGGGGCACCTCCGTTCTCCCCACCCACACAGCCCCTTTGTGACCCCATGAGTCCAGTGTGCCTTTCTTTCTCCTCCCCACCAGGCTGGGAGGGCAGAAAGGGAGGAGGGGAGTGTGGCTGGGAACGGACTCCTAGGAAGCAGAGGAGAAAGTGGGTTTTTTATTTACAACCCCACTTGCAAAGGGGCAAACTGTTGGGCGGTCGCCCAACCCTGTTGACAGAGTAGGGGAATGGGAGAGTCCCTTTCCCGGCCGGCAGTCCTCTGTAACCTGTAACGGGCGGGGGTGGGGGTGGGGGGCCGGGGAGTGTCCCAAGGGCAGGGCGGGGCGGGGCGCTGTGGCTCCGCCTGGAGGGCAGAGGGCACACAGGGGAGAGAAACAGAGGAACTGCCCTTCCTGGGCTGGGTCAACCGGTGCTTACCACCTGGCTCAGGAGCCAAGAACGGAACGAGGGGCTGGAGGTGGGGGTGCATTTCTGCAAATCTCAGAGATCAGAGCCCTGAAGGCGGCGGTTGAGAAAGTCCACAGCCCTGGCACTGCCAGGTGTATGGGCGGGGACTTCTGGAGAGCCCCGCAGCCGCCCTAAGGCAGGTGCCCCCACCACGCTCCTCTGAAGGGGTGCGCCCCCTCTCCGCCCTCCTACCCTCTCCCCTTGCGTCCCATCCCACCTTCGCGGGCGCTCCGGGAGTCTCCGGGGCAGCCGGGAGGCGTGGCCCGCGGGCGGCCCGCCCCTTTGATGTGCGCCGGCGCCGCAGTGATTGGACAGTCGCTTGTGACGTGCGGGGACTGCGGAGGGCCCGGGTGCTGCGGCTGCCGCAGCGCTAGCCGCGGCTCCGGCTCCGGCTCCGGCTCCCGGGCATTTAAAGGGGACGCGGCGGCGGCCCGGGGGGATGGGGGGCAGGCGGAGAGGACGGCCCAGACGCACATCATCCACGGCCCCTTGGGACTGGAGGGACTCGTGAGCCGGAGCCCAGAAATACGGGGGTGGCTAAGACACCGCGTCCCCCCCAATTCCCGTAAGCACCCCTAGCTCCATCCTGCGTCCAAATACCTCAGCTAGCCCCTTTTCCCACTCTTTGCAATCCAAACTCAGCCGGGGCAGACCTCGGCCGCCGCCGCTCCCCACGTGAGTCCTGGGCTCTCCGAGGTAGGGGAGGGCTGGGGTCCCAGTGTGGGGTGGGGGCTGTGTGGAGTTTGAGGGCGCTCCTTCACGCGTGTGTCAGCGGGGGCGTCCCTGGAGCGGAGGAATGAGTCCCCCTTCTTTCCCCTATCCAGGAAGGTGGTGCCCGGGTATCTCTCCCTCCCCGTACTCGGACAAAGCGAAGGAATCTGTGCCTCCTTGCTCCCTGCCACCCACGAGTTCCCTGGGCTCCCCTCGGCTCCCTAAGCTGCGCACCCCCCGCCCCGCATTGGAGCGAAGCTCCCGCCAGCTGGGGGTGTGCCAGAGAGCCTGCTTTCCAGCCACCTCTAAAAATATCTCTCCCCCAACTCCACCGGCAGCTGCCACCTCCCTGCCCAGTGAGGATCCCCTCCCGGCTTGTTCACCCAGGCAGGGCGAGCCCCGAGGTGACTCCTGGTCCCAGCTTCCTCGCTGGCCCCATAACTGCGGGTCATCGCCACCAGCTAGTCAGGACAGCAAGCTCACAGCCTAAGGGAGTCTCCAGGGCAATAGAGGAAGCTCTGGCTGCGATTTTCCCAAGAGGCACCAGAGACCCCTGAGTTCTAAATATGATTCTGATGCTGTGTGACCCCCAGGATATTAGCTTGACCTCTCTGGGCCTCTGTTTTTCCTATCTGCTGCTGGCAGTCGTGAGCAGGGAAGAGACCACGGTGAAGTTTGGGAGTGCTATCTGAGGGAGGGAGAGAATTCCAGCTTAGTGGCTGAATGTGATTTCTAGTGATTGATACAAGGAGACTTGGTCTTGGGCAGACAGCTTGTTCCTGTGGTATCTCTGGGGTCCTCTCCCCCATCCCCATCCTGCACATTTCCGGTGGAAAACTGTTTCCAAACCGTCTCAAGGGCTCCATCCATTAAGAGGGGAATTTCAAACTTAGGGCTGATGCCAAAGAGAGGCCCGTTTCCCTCCCCCATCCCCAGGGGACCCTCCCAGCCCATTCCCATAGATGTCATCTAGGAGCTTTTGTGTAAAAGCCAGGAGGAAGCAGGGAGGAATTCGTGATCCTGTGTGGGGTCAGGGAGGCAGGCGCCACTTTTAGATGGGACTGGACTAGAATAGGGACTGCCTGCCGCCCCTAAGCAACCCGCTCTCCCCTCTGCTCTAGCCTGTGCGAGAAGCTCGGAGATCCTGTCCCCCTTTTCTCTGAGGGACTCTTTCTGGTGACCACAAAAGGATTTGATCACTCAGGACAAAGCTGCCAGAGGTGAGTAACCTTTCTGAATGTCACAGGGGCCAGATTCCCACGGGACCCCGGGTCCCTCTGACTATTTTGTAAGGGTGGGGTGTCACAGCATGGCCTTCTCAGGTTCCAGGGGAAGAAACTCACTCAGGATGCCTGGCTCTCTGCTCTGGGGACTGAAAGAAACAAGGGCGACTCACCAAACAATAAATGTTTAACCAATTTCCCTAAATACTATTGTTAGATGAAAAAAACATAACTTATGTGTTTTGCTATGAGAAATGGGAAGTTTTGAGCATGATATTGCAATAGAATATTCCACCAAATAAAAGAAAGACAAAGAAACAAGGGCAAAACAAGGAAGCTTGCTCTCCGGGTGGCGCCAGAGGCCCTGTGCATCTTTGCATCTGACCCTCGCTGTGCCCCGTGCCCGGCACGTGTCCGTCCTGTTTGCTTTTACAGCGGGAGGGGCATCCCCTGACCTTTCTCCTCAGACTCACCTGGCCCAGGGCGGACGTGTGATATTAGCCAGGACTCTGGAAGGCTGGAACTGCCTCCAGATGGGGCCTGGGGATAGCCCTCCCACCCTCCAAAACATGCCATTCCCGCGTCCCATGCCTCGCTCCCCTTCGCTCCCACCTTCTCCTGGACGTGTCTCTCCTCTCCCTTTTTGCCCACTGCCCCGTTCAGCTTTGGCCACCTCCCCCAATTCCTAGATGAAAAATTCTTAGCGCAAAGGCTGAGACCCACATCCCATCCTTACCACAGGGTTTAATGCACGAGTGGTCTGAGTGGGCAGGGAGGGGGTAATTCGAGATGGAAGGTGAGAGAGGCCCTCCCACAGGCCCTCCGACCTGTGCCCTGCTCCTGGGATGTCCCAGTCTCTGTCTTGGGGACAGTAGCTTCCCCCTGCTGTCCTGGGATGGTCTGGGGAGAGTGTCACCTTGAGAAAGTCAGAAGGGTTTCCAGTGTCACCTGCTGTCACCACCAGAGGGCAGCAGCCAGCCAGACCTTTGCTCCTTTCCCTGGTCTAGTCTCCTGGCTCTTTCCAGACCTGTCCCAGCTGCCTCAGGTCTCTGTGTCACCCCAGGGTGGAGGGTGGGGTGTGCGTAGGGAGGCACTAGGGGCTGTAGGTGTGTCCTTTGTAGTTGGTGAAGGCCCACAAAGCCAAACCTGTCCCCAAAGCCACACAGCAAAGTCGGGCAGAAATTTCACCCTGACTCTCCTGTCTGACTCCTGGGCCCCGGAAAGCACCAGGGAGGCCAGTCCCGGATCACCTGTGGTGCCCAGGGGTCCTGGCCCCCCAGCTGGGGTACAGTGAGCCTGGTCATCTGCCTCTTCCCTTTTGAGGGCAGAGGGCAGGCAAGGCTGTGGCCAGGTGTTCATGAACCCGGCTCTGCCTCCCTGAGCCCTTCTCATCTGCTGCATTCATGGGACTGTGACGGGCACTGAGAGAATATGAAAGAAGGTGATCTGTAAACTGTGAGGTACCGCATACAAGAAAGGGGAAGTGGTCATACTGGAGAAAAAAGCTCTGGTCTCAGACTCTGAGATCTGGTTTTGAGATCTGTCTCTGCCACTTACAGTGGGTGACCTTTGAGCAAGTCGGTGTCCCTCTCTGGGTCTCCATCAATATCATCCCTAACCTCTCCAGCATTGTAGGGGGTTGTAAGAGGATGCCTAGCAAGGGCTTTGTGGTCTGTAAGTGCTATGCCTGTTTGAGGGGTTGTTTTTATGGAGCCCCTGGGAGTGGCTCCTGGGGCTCAGCAGAGGGGATGGGGCCAGGTGGGCATTAGTAGTGGAAACAGAGCCAGATGACTGGGCACCCTCACACGGACCTTGTGTGGTTGTCAGGAGCTCTGGACGACGCCTGGAGGCCAACGGAGTCCCTACAGGTGCTGCTCAGGGTGATGCACCGACAATGAGTGGGTGTTTTCCAGTTGCTGGCCTCCGATGCCTGTCTAGGGTAAGTGGGGCCCTCCAGGGGTCTCTTAGGATGAGGCCTCAGCCCCTACATTCCCATCCCGGAGTGGGAAGAGCCCTGCTGAGCCCCTTTTAGGCTTTCCCTCCCCTCTACTGGGCCTCCACTAATCCCTGGAAGCTTCCTTCCCAGGCGTGGGGTCCTGATACTTTACATCCTCAACTCCAGTGGTGCTGGGCCACTGAGACACCCAGATGGACGTTGGTGAGAGCAGAGAGCGTCTCTAGGGTTGAGGTCAAAGGGATGGTTCTATTAGCGAGGCAGATAGCCAGGTTCAAATCCCAGCTCTGAAATGAGGAGCTTGGACTTCTGTCTCACAAGATGTGCTCGGCCATAAACATCACAGGGATATTAGAGAGGGAGTTAGGAAGAAAGCAGAAAGAAGAGTGGTTCCATCTCAGATCATTGGGGTGGGAGGCTGGGAGGGAGAAAGGCAGTGTGATGGATATGCTGAAGGTGGACCTGATCTGCTCACTCTGCCCCTCTGTCCCCTACAGCTGCTGTCAGGCAAAGGTGGGAGGGACAGGCTGCCGAGGGATTCTGCTGTCTCCATTTGCTTGCCTTTCTTCGTGCCCTCACACTTGCCCTGTTGTCCCCCGTCCTCTCCCATGGCCCCCATCAACATGACTCTGGCCCAAGATCTCCACTTCCTGGAGTCCCCACCCCCACTCCGTCTTCCTGTCCAGTCTGTCTCTGCGCTCCCCTAGCATGACTTCCCCCTAGCCCCCTCCTTCCCCACTGCTGCCTCATGTCTGCATGTCTACACTACCTTCTCCCTCCTCCCCTGCCTTTTCAGCCACCGCTGCTCTCTTTCCTCTTTCTTACCTGTCTCCCAGGTATGTCGCCGCCTGGTGCGGGAGGCTCCTACCTTCCCAAGCCCCACTGCTTCTCCTGCTGCCCGCCTGCTTCGGACTCTGGCAGAAACCCCACCCGCTGACACAGGGAATTGGCAAGTGACTAGTGATGACCTGTCAGCACAGGGTCCTAAAACTCCCCAGAGAAGCTGTATCCCATCCCTAGACCCCTGCCCAGTGCCATCTGGCTAGAAGCAGCTCCCAGAGAGCCTTCCTGAGTCTTGTGTGGTCAAATCACTTACCTGGTTATTCCAAGAGCTAAAATCCAGTTGTCTGGCCAGGACAGACACCCAGGCACCTAACTCTCCAGGCCCAGCCCTTAGCTCCTATCCAGGCCTGAGGACCCAGCACTCATCGTCCACATGTCTTGGACGGTGCCAACAAGACTTCCCTGGAGCCTGGCTTCTTATTGTCCACCACAGTCCCACCTGCCATCAGCTCGGCCTGGTCCAGAGGGGAATGAGGAGGCTGCTCCGGTTGGGTGAATGGGTGGTTCCCTTGACTATGTTAGGGAAGAAGGGAGTGGAGAGCTCCCTCCACCCTCCCGGTAGCTACACCAACAACAGGAGTCACTAGAAGTCTCTAGCACAGTCTAGTCCAGAAACCTCCCCGAAGGGGTGACCCCTTGGAAGCTGCTTTTCCCCATTTTTAAGCTGACCCTTGTTAAGCCCCAATGGCCCCAGATGAGAGTAGCAGAAACAGGTGCCAAGGATGCCCTTCTGAGTTCGGAAGGAGGATGGTCCTCTGAGGATAAACTCCAACGCAGTTAACTAAGAGGTGCCGGGAAGGGAGGTCAGGGAGGGGGATCGGGGGCAGGGGCGGCAGGGAAGGCTGGGCGGGGGGCGGCGGCGGCCGTGGCTACTCCGCCTAGGTTAACCAGCTTTGGGTCCTCCTCAGGTCTTGGACGTGCCAGCGCCTCTGGCCGTGGCCCGCTAACCAGCCTCTCCCGGGCCGGCTCCCGCCGCGCCCCCTCTCGCTTGCTCTCTCCTCCTCCTCCTGCTCTTCTCCTCCCTGCTCCCAGGACGGCGGGATGGCCGCGCAGGGCGCGCCGCGCTTCCTCCTGACCTTCGACTTCGACGAGACTATCGTGGACGAAAACAGCGACGACTCGATCGTGCGCGCCGCGCCGGGCCAGCGGCTGCCGGAGAGCCTGCGTGCCACCTACCGCGAGGGCTTCTACAACGAGTACATGCAGCGCGTCTTCAAGTACCTGGGCGAGCAGGGCGTGCGGCCGCGGGACCTGCGTGCCATCTACGAGGCCATCCCCCTGTCGCCAGGCATGGGCGACCTGCTGCAGTTTGTGGCCAAGCAGGGCGCCAGCTTCGAGGTTATTCTCATCTCCGATGCCAACACCTTCGGCGTGGAGAGCGCGCTACGCGCCGCCGGCCACCACGGCCTGTTCCGCCGCATCTTCAGCAACCCGGCGGGGCCCGACGCGCGGGGGCTACTGGCGCTGCGGCCCTTCCACACGCACAGCTGCGCGCGCTGCCCCGCCAACATGTGCAAGCACAAGGTGCTCAGCGACTACCTGCGCGAGCGGGCCCACGACGGCGTGCACTTCGAGCGCCTTTTCTACGTGGGCGACGGCGCCAATGACTTCTGCCCCACGGGGCTGCTGGCGGGCGGCGACGTGGCCTTCCCGCGCCGCGGGTACCCCATGCACCGCCTTATCCAGGAGGCGCAGAAGGCCGAGCCCAGCTCTTTCCGCGCCACTGTGGTGCCCTGGGAAACGGCCGCCGACGTGCGCGTGCATCTGCAGCAGGTGCTGAAGACGTCCTGAGGACGGCGGCCTGCGGGGGGCGCCCGGGCGGGGAAGGGGCGAGGAGGGGGGAGATCGGGAAAGACAAACCTAGTTTTTTTAATTCCCTTTTCCCTTTCGCTACGGTGTGTCCCTCTGGGAATTTCTGGAATTCCGGGCTTGTCCATTTGGGGGCTGGGGGCGGGAGTTCGGACAGACCCTATCTATGCAGTTAACCCAGTTCGGCTGCCCCGCCCAGTTCCTCTGCAAAACAATTATTCTGGAGTCTGGCCCCACCGGGGAGGTGCGCATACCGGGGAAGGCAGCAGTGTTTCTAAAAACCTTGTCCTCCAAACTGGGAGGACTGGGTTCCCTGGGAGGGGAGAGAAGAAACGTGTCCCGCTGCTTTAACCGCTGCCTCGGGCCGTGTAACCTCCCCTCTTCCAGATCCCGAAATCCTCCCGGCTGCACCCGGCTCCCCGCCCAAGTCCCCAGGCCTAGATCCTGCTTCACCTACCGCGACCCCACCTTCTATCCCTTTTCTTCTTGCCTCTCTTCCCCCACCCACCCCGCCAGCATCCCCAAAGGAAAAAAAGCCAGAGGGAACAGTCGCCTCCTGGTGGTGGAACGAGGTAGCACACTGTCCGGCCAGCAAGGGACCTCGCAGCGTGCGACAGTGTCTCCTCGCACCCCAGCCTCGTCTATGCAGCAAGAGACCAGGGATTTTACCAAAGTCGCCTCGCGGGCTGGGCCCTCTGCGCCCCCCACCTCCGCGGTGGGTCAGAAGGCCTTGATATTTTAAAGCAGAGCCAGCAAAACCCAAGCCCCTCCTCCCTCTTTGATGTTTTAGAGCTATAAAGGAGGTGAAGGGGGAAGAGGTGACTGAGATCTCTCGCGCCGCAGTCTAAGGGGTGAGGGTGAGGTGGTCTCTGCTCTCAGAGAGCCCCACTTAAGTGAGGGAGTTAGTCCCCACTCTTGGAGAGTGCCCGGCTTCAGGAACCAACACTGAACACATAACACACAGCAGGCAACAGGCAAAAGAACAAGGTGCAGTCAGTCATTGCTGAGGGGCATCAGAGGTCTAGTGCAGAGGGCACCTAATGAGGACCGAAGAGATGGGAGAGACACTGCTGCTAGCGGCAGGCAGAGGGTGGCTCCGTAATTAGCAGGAGCCTTAGAACTGGGATGCCTTTCAATCCCTCCTCTCTGCCCCCTAGCCCTGCAGGGCAATTATCAAGAGGGTCAGAGTTTTAGTCAAAGCTGGCACTTGCAGCTGGAGACCCCGCCCTGCACAGAGTAGGGGTCCTCTGTGGACAAGGTCACCAAACTCCTTGTCTTTCAGTTCTTTCCTGTCTGGAGCAGGCCTCTGGGTATCTCCTCTCTCTCCCCAGGACCCCTTCCCACCGCAGTAGGGGGAAGGAGCGGACACAGCTCACAGCCCAAGAGGCGGGCAGACCTAGTCCAGCCTTGATCTTGGAGCTGGCTTTGGCCCGGGGCTCCAGAGGCTGCTCAGGGCAGAGCCTGGGTTAGCAGCCCAGAGAGTCCCAGGCTGTCAGCAGCTGGGCTCCACATAGTTCCCCGGGAAGAATCCAGTCCCCTCTGAGCTGACACCCTCACACCAGCCATCGGAGTAGCGGCGGGTGACGCAGATGATGGTTCCCTCAGAGAAGGAGAGCTCGTTGTCCTTCTGGCGGGTGTATGGGTACAGTGTCACCACTGCAGGACAGGAGGAGAGGCTGCTGTGAGATGTTCGTCCTGCCCCATCGTGGGGATGCAGGGGCCCACATACTGGACTCTAGCGAGCATCTAGGGGAGAAGGCTGCAGGGAGTGGGGCAGGCGGTCCTTCTCCCAAGCCCTGGGACCCCTCCCCAATTCACTTAATATCTACCAGGCCAGTGGCTCTCAACTTGCTCATTTCATGAGAAAATATGTGCGGGGGTGGGGGGCTGAATGCCTCTAGGGTAGAAGAGTAGGGAGAACCCTGGTGCCCTTCATTCCCAGGAGTCAGGTACCTTTCTCCAAGTATGTAGCAGGGACCCAGCTGGGCTCTTCCCGTTCAAAGCCTGGTGGGGGTGGAGGCAGCAGCCCCAACTCATCTACATCCAGAGGTGGAGGAGGGGGCAGGTCCAGGGGCAGGGGCAGCTCTGGGGCTGGGAGGGAAGCAGAGGGGCTGTGAGTGGGACACAGGGAACCCCTCCACCAGCCCCAGGAAACTTGACTGTTCAAGAGCAGGGCCCCAGGCTCTCCCCATGTTATGTAATCTTCCTCCAGCCCTGCCCATCCTGGTCCTCCCACAATGCCTCTGACAAGTAGCAGGTGTTCAGTAAACACTAAAACGTTGAACAGTGTAAGTCAGACACTGCCACTTAGCTGGGTGACCCTTGGGCAAGTCACTGAATTTAACCTCTCAGCCTTAGCTTCCTCCTCTGTTAAATGGGAATGTGAAGATCCTCTTAGGGTGTTAAGTTTAAGTGAGAAAACGGATGAGAAGCTTCAAATCCAGGGCCTGGTATAAAGCAGGTGCCAAGTTATGTTAGTTCCTCTGCCCGCTTCCTCTCCTTTCTCTCCCATGACCTCTCCCGTGGACAAGCCTTTCATAGACGTGGGTCCGATTAGATCCAAGAGGGGTGGGGTGGGGAGGAGTATGGGGAGGTAAGAAAGGCTGAGCTAGGAGGAGAGGGCGGAGCTCCTTACCTGGCGGGGGCAGGGACAGTTCCTCCAGCGGAGGGGGCAGCAGGAAGAGGTCAGAGGCAGCTGGTGGAGGAGGTGGGGCCGTGGAGCTGGGGAGAGGTGGGGGTGGGGGTGCTGCCTGCCCCTTGGTCGTGGAGACCCCACCGACACCTTCGGCGCTGCTGAAGACCAGAGAAAGCGGGGCTCGTCTAGGTTGGAGGACAACTTCCCTAATTCAGCATCCCCCAACCGGCCCCGCCCCTGTGATCCGGAGTCCCCTCAACCCTAGTAGTCACCATGACAATTGGCAGGAGGACCCTCTCAACCCCTCCCCTCGCCACCCCGCACTTGGACTTGGGCTCACCCGGCCGAGGCCAGAGAAGAAGCAGATGAGGCGGCTGAGAGTTTGCCATCGGGCAACACCGGGAGCTGCACGGGCTCCGGAACCCGCGGCGGTCTCCTGGGGGGCGGGGGGGTGGGGTGCGGGGTGTCGTCAGGCAGGAGGAAGGCTTCTGGGCAGCAGGGGTCGGGTGCGGGGAGGGGGCAGCTGGTGTAAGAGGAAGTTTGGGGCCCGCGTTGAGGGGGGTGGGGGAGTCGAGTTTCGGGACGGAGTAGGGCTGCTTTGGATCGAGGTGGGGTCTCACCCCAGGGTGGCAGAGGCGGGTGTGGCAGGCGCCTTGATGCTCTTTCGAGACAGGGTCCCAGTCCGCGACAGCTGCGTGCTCAGATCCTGCGGGGGAGCAGAGGCGGGGCTGACATCTATGGGGGCCCCCCCAATAGCCCCCCTCATCCCAGAGAGGAAATGGGGGAGGGGCGGACAAGAACTGGGAGGGGGAGGGCGGGCACAGCAAGTTCCCACTTCCACTTCCCAGCCCCCTCTCCCACCCCACCTCACCCCACTCCACCCCACCCCCTCTTGCCGCGCCTGGGCCCTGGGGCCTGGGCCTCAAATCTGCCCGGAAACCTCGGAGCACAGACACGGTCTGCAGGCCACTTCCTCTGCAAGGCCTCAGCGGCTGAGTGGGCTCAGCATCCCCACCCCGCTTCTCAAGCTTCTCAGTGCCCAGCTTGGTGGTCACTAATCTGATTAGACCCCCAACCCCAGCGCAGGCTGAGGAGGGAGTTGGGGAAAGGAGAGGACCGCGGTGCTTAGAAATGTCCCACCTGTCCTTGCAGGCCTGTGGAACTGACTCTGGGAGTTCAGGACAGAGAGGAGCAGAACATTTAGAGTAGAGTGTAGAAATGACCAGGTGCAAACCCCCAGGCGGGACAGCACCTCTGTCACTGATGGGGTTGCCCAAGAGTGGGTTCAGGGGGAATGGTGTTCCCTGTTCGCTATACTTCACTAGGGACAAGCGGGACCTGAGCTGAAGCATAAAGAATTTAAGTTGGACAATAGGAAGAACTTACTGGTGGGGAGGCCTGGTGACTGAAGGAGGGAGTGTAGTGCCCCCTTTTTGGGGAGATGGTATGCTGAAGATATCAGAGTGTCATTCAGATACAGGAGAGCTTCAGTCTAATCTGAAATGTTGCAGTGTGAGGACAGGAATTGACAAAATGGGATCCAGTGTGTGTGTCTCTGTGTGTGTGCATCTTCTCTCACCTCTCAGAGGGAGGTGGGCTGAGGATAGAATGCCAGAGTTATGCTCCCCTCTCTTCGCTATGTCCCCCTTGGGTGGCTGCATCCCCGCCCCTTCCCACCCAACAGGGGCTCTGGGGTGACTGTTCAGTGCTGTGACCTCAAACCTCCAGACAGAGGAAGTCGCTGTTCTCATGTGGCTGGGGAGCCATTCTCATGCACACCCCCACATCCTCCCTTCCCTCTCTTCCCCTCACACTCACGCCTAGCACCCGCAGGGCGGGGGTGTTCAAATGTCACTCAGCAGATTGTCTGAGTACAGGGTAAAGGCCAGTTATTAGGGTGGGGGAGAGGGTCATGAGGACTTTTAAGGAGGAGGGGCTCCTCCCATAAGGAGGACCTGGAGAGTAAGGGAGGCTTAGGGTGATGGCCTCAGGGAGTGAGGAAAGAAAGGGGCTGCAGGTTAGGACAAGAAAATGGATGTGGAAGAGAAGTGGGGAGCTGGAGAGAAGGGAGCCGTGAGGCAGAAGAGGGCGCGTTGTGGAGAAGGGAGGGGCTCATCTCTGTACCTTGATCCCATGGCCAATGTCATCCAGGCAGCCGAAGTTGAGGGGTCTCCTGTAGTAGGGCGTGAGGGGAGGTAGGCTCTCAGGGGGGATGACTTTCTGGCCGGGGGGCAGCCGCTGGACAGCGGCTAAGGTGCCGATCTCCCTTCGGGCCACCTTCTCCATATGCATGTTCACCATCTGGATGACAGGGTTTGGGGTAACAGTGGGGCAGCCTCTGTACAGCACCCTTCCCCTTAAGGGAGGAAGAGGACAGAGACTTTGGGGTGGGGACAGGGACCCTGGGAGGCAGTGAGGTCTAGACAAAGAGTGAGTTCTGTCCCCAAGGCCACACACGGCACTTGGGAAAAGAACTGCCAGGAGAGGATGGAACTACTTGGAGCAACTTCCTGGTGGAAGAAAATGAAGGTTATTATTAGCCGAGCAGGAACCAGAGGAAAAGAGAAAACACAGCATCCCGGGGGGGCTGGGAAGAGACTCAACCACTTGGCTGGCTCAGAACAGAGCGGGTGACAGGGAGGTGGCTGGGATTCGTGGCTGGATCAGCTCTCTCTTTTGGGGGACAAATAAGTGAATTAACTTCCTCTTGTGATGCTCTGTGGAGAAACGTACAGCCTGGAGCGGGTGGGAACGCTGGCCTGCTGGGGCCAGCGGAAAAGACACACCCCACATTGAACATGTGGATGATGTGCGGGCCAGGCCCATGTGTAACTGGATCTGTGCATGTGGTTCATGGGGCGATTCCTCGGCCAAGGATCCAGGAAGGAAGGAGGAGGGTGTGTATGCTAAATGGGTGGGGGGCACTGTATGGTGATGGCAGTGCTTCCGGGGCTGAAGAGGACCTTGCCAAGCAAGCACTCTGGGTCTAGGGCATTTATGAAGTTACCGCCTGTGTTTAGCTGGGAACAGGATCCATGTGCCTCTTTCCTCTACTCTGCAGCCACAGTGATTGGTAGAACCTGCTTTCTGCCATGCTGGGTGGGATTCAGAGAAAGAAAAAGCTCTGCCTTCAGGGAGCTCCTAATCTGGTGGGGCAGCAAGGCCCAACACTGAGACATGGCCGCTGAGATACGAAGGCTCAAAATGCTTGGGAAGTGCCAAGCCTCTGTGTTGCACTCAGGCATCTGGAGAAAGGCGGGAAAGCACTTTTGCTAGAGAAAATATCCGAAGATATTTTCAGCTGGGGCTGAAGAGCTGGGAGCCGATGCAAGAAGCCTTCCCATGCCCCTTACCTGGCCCAGGGTGCTCACGCGGGCTTCCACCTGCCGCAGGCAGGCCGCCTGCAGGTCCAACATGCGCAGTGTGTGCCCGGCCAGGTTGCCCACCTGGTAGGCCACGCTTGCCAGGGCCTGGGTGGTAAAGGCCATCGTCTCCTCCAGTGCCTTCCGCTTGTCTGTGGCCTGAAATACACACAGCCCTGGTCTGAGGGCAGCATCTTCCACTGGGTCCCTGATTCGGTGGGTGGGATGGGAGAGGGTATAGGGAAAGTGGGGGCTGAACTGGCAGAAACAGCAACCCCTAGATGTTTGAGCTGGTTTCCATAGGAATGAGACTGTGGTAAGAAGGACTCCAGGGACATCAGGAAAGTGAATCTGCAGCCCTGGGAAATGGGTGCAAGGGGGGAAAGATACTCATCCTCGAGTAGTCAAGCTGAGGATTGACCCCAGCCCCCTCCTGAGGACCTTTTGGGGGCTAACAGGTGAAGAGTGGAAAGGAAAGAGGAAGGCAGTTCTGGTTGGAGGAGATATTCTCAAGCTTAAAAACCAACCAACTAACAGCAGGCCCCCATCTCAGAGCTTCTAACCAGGATTCCCTGGGAGTGAGCCCGGTGGATCTGTGCCTTTAAAAGCAACCCAGGTGACTCTGGTCCTCCTTGTTTAGCTCCAGTCTGCAGGTTGGTGGTGGGAACCAATGATCTGCTCCATTTTATAGATAAGGAAACTGAGGCCCAGCAGAGAGTGACTTCATTCACTCATTCCCTCCAGTAGCTTCCCAATACACTGAGAATGAGACACAAACTTCTAACCACGTCCGATATAGAGCCTCACAGGCTGGCTCTTGCTTTCGTCTTCACTTGAATCCCTTACCACGCCCCCTCTCACTCACTGCCCTCCAGCCACATTAGCCATTGGGTTTCCTTTCCCGATCAAGCTAAGACTGTTTCTACCTCAGGGCCTTTGCACTTGCTGTACTTCTTTCTAGAATCTTTCTTCTTATTAAGTCTCTGCTCCTCAGAGACACCTTCCCTTACCACCCTAAGATTCCTCCCAGCTTACTTCTGGATTGACTCTCTATCATGTTTAACTTGTTCTCTTTTCTTCATAGCACTTAGCACTATCAGAAATTATTTATCTATTTACTTTATTATCTATTCCCCCCTCCCCACACACATACACTAAAATGTGAGTGCTGTGAGGGCAGGGAGCGGGTCTGTTTTATTCTATACCCTATCCTGGAATAGTGCCCAACACACAGACGATACTTAATAAATATGCATTTGGGAGTTAATTAACGGATTGAATGCGAACCCAAACACTTGCTGGGCATCTTCTTATTGCGTGCCAGGCACTGTGCCAGGTGCTGGCCAGAGTCACATTGCTGGTCAGTGGGGGAGGGGTGGGCAGGGAGTGGCTGAAGACTGAAGAGGTTCTTTTCAGTCCTGGATCAGCCTGTGGAGGCTGGGGCAGAACTCCTCTGGTCATTTGGTCCCTGGGGCAGCTTCCTCATCTCAGGTCAGGTCATGGAGTTGCTGCCCTCCAGCCTGTACCTTTCCAGGGGGGCAAGGGTGAGTCCAGGGCAAGTCTGGGCAAGGCCGGTGGACTGACCCGCAAGGCTGCCCCTTGGGGTCTGCTCGCTAAGGGCCCTTGGGTGCTCCTCAGGGCCTGTCAGAGGAGAGCAGTCCTAGAGCCTATCAGAGCAGGCTGCTGAGAGACCTGGGGGCTCCAGTGTGGCCCGAGCCAGGCTGGAGCCCAAGGGCAGGCCCAGAACCTTCTAAGCAGCCCTTCCTGTATTTCTCTCCTCGGGTGCACCTCCTGCCCGTCTGTTCCAACTGCGAGAGACAGACAGAGAGAGAGAGAGAGAGAGAGAGAGAGCGAGAGGGAGAGAGGGAGAGAGGGAGAGAGATGTTCATTTGCATGCAATTCACATTTCATCAGCAGAAAGCAACCCAGGGTGTTAAAACCAGAAAGGACAGCAGGTCTCCTTCAAGTTCAGCGTTCAAGACCTTCCTTTCATAGATGAGGAAACAAAGGCCCAACATGGAGCAGCGACTACTCCTCGGGTCTCTACCCAGATTTCTTAGCTGGCCTCTCCTGTACTGTCCCCTCCCTGGACTGGCATGTGGAATTGTCAGCCCAAACAGGAAAACTGTCTGCTTGGGTCCAGCTCTGGGAGGCTAGAGCCTGGAAGCCTACTGACCCCAGCTTTGGTCTTGGCCCAAAGTTACATCTGGGGGGACAAGGGTCTGGTATCCGTTTGCAGGCTGCCTGCTTATTCATCATGCAAATTACCCCGTCTGTAAACTCGACGGACCCTGACCAAGAACTCTGCAGTTGACCCGGCCTGCCCTCCCCTTTTCCCCATGGGTTTCCTGACACCTGGTTGAGGTGGAGGGGGCTTGAGTGGGGGGACAGAGGACGTGGGAACAAAGCCTTGTCTAAGAGCAGTTCTGAGAACTCATGCAAACCCCTCCTAGCCATTTGCTTCCCAGACAAAGATCCTCAGAGAAGCCCGGAGAGGTCCCTGGTTGTGTGGTCTAGCGGTTAGCATTCTGCATGAAGGAAGCAGGGGTCCAGGGATTCCAGTGTGGGTCAGGGCTTCCAATGCCCTGGGTGTTTCTGCTGGGGCTGCTTCGCCTTGCTAGAACTGACTTTTATTATCCATGTGTCTTTCATCCTTCTGATGAATGATGATGACAATAATGATAATAATGGTACCAGCTGCCATTTATCCTGCCCTTCTTAAGGGGCAGGCACTGGGCTAAATGCTTTAATACATTATCACATTTAACCCATGTGACCCCCTTGGAGGAAGGGATAAGAATCAGAGAGGAAACTTGCCGCCGATTGGATAGTTGGTCGGTGGCAGAGTTGGAGATTGGGCTCAGGTCTTTGTGACCCCAAATCCTGTGTGCACACTGTGTGTGCAAATGAGGACCCATCCGGGCGGGAGTCCTTTGAGATGTGCAGAGGTCACTGAGGGAGAGAGAAGGACTGTTTCTGTCCTTGTCGACAGGAGGAGCATACCTTCCAGTGCCACAGGAGCGGGGCTGGTTTACCGTCCACCTTCCCTCTCATCTACAAGCTGGCTGCTCACATCTACCCAGACGGAAATTCTACCCAGGGCAGCACTTTCATCTAGAGGTGAAGGGGTGGGCTCTGGATTTAGAGTTACAGGTTCAAATCCAAGTTCTGCCACAAGACCTTTGGGAAGTGAACAAATGTTCCAGAACCTCAGCCTCCTGGTCCTCACCTCCCTGGACTGGCGTGCGGACTGGAGGAGGCAATGCGGGCGCCAGGCCTGCCCAGAGGAAGGCTGCAGAGCGTTCTCACTGTTCTTAGCACTGACTCTTTAATCTGCCGTGCTCCCATGAGCACTTGCTCCTTTTCTTCTTAGTTTTTTCAACACTCTCACTGAGCTGGGAGGTCCCTGTACCTCTTCTCACAGTTTGGTTAGAAGACGTTAGACAAATGAAGTTTTGCCCGAGGGATCCCAGGGTTAGCCTGTACAGGCTCTTAAGGGGCAGAGGAAACTGAGGACAGAGTGTGCAGATAAACTGTTTTCAAGTCATACAGCATGTGAGGGAGGCGGAAAGGTGGAGAAGAGAGAGCTCGGCTTCAGAGTCTGGGCTGATGCCCGGCTCTACCGTTTCCAAGCTGTGTGACCATAGATGAGCCACTTCACCTCCCTGTGCTGCTGTCTCCTCATCTATGAAACAGGAATAATAATACTTGTCTCACACGGTGGTCATGAGGATTAATGAAATAACAGAGGTGCCCGATCGTTGTAAGTTTCTATCACCCCTCTTCCCTTGACCCAGGAATCTACATTTGCAGTCCAGGGACAACCACACAATTTAGAAAACTGGTCTAAAATGCCAGTAGCCATCTTTTGCTGGTAGGCGGCTCCCAGCAGTCGTGTTGTCCATCCTGGTGCCTCCGTGTCAGAAGCCGTCTCTTTACCGAGCCTGTTCTGACGTCTCTCCGCTCTCCCTCAAGGATCAGGGAAAGAACCGTCCCCTTGTCCATCTCAAGTTCGCTGTAGTGTTTGAAAGGTTCTTCTGAAGTCGCACCTAGAGCCAGCCTGAAAATGGAATGATGGCACCAGTGCTTGTGTGTGAGGACAAGTTTTGGGGCCTCTGGATTTGAGTGGGAGGCCAGGAGGGAGACGAACCTGGGGTGAGGCCTGATGACAGGACGGGGTGGAGCTGCCCATCTGGACATCTCTGAGGCCCTGGGAGAGAGAAGGTACACAGCAGGGGTTTGGGCAATGTGGGGTCAGGGTCAAGTCTGGGGGAACGGGGATGAAGCCAAGGCCTAGAGTGGGAGGCTTTCTCAGCCAAGGCCCAGGACAAGCACCTGTCAGGATGGCTCCCACGGCCCTGCCCTGGGGAAGGGCTCCGGGCCCCTCCAGGGGCTGGGGTGTGGGGGCCTGTGCCCGCTCTGCCTACCTGCACGTAGTTGTTCTCACAGTAGTCCGCGACTCGCAGCAGGGCGCTGTGGTTGCCCCGCAGGGCCTCCCGGCCTGTGGGGATCTCAAACTCTTGCAGCTGCTGCAGCTCCGCCATGGCCCGGCCTCTGCCCAGCTCCCCGGGGAGCCCGCTGGTTTCGCGCCTCACCCTGCCCTTGATTGGTCGCTCTGCCTTCCCTCCCTCTTGCCACTTTTGGTTTCCTCTGCGTGACAGACCCAAACCCCCTTGCAAAGGGCAGGCATGCTCGTTCTGGGACAAGAGGAAGTCAGTCCCTGCTCCCTGAGCCTGTGCCTCTCTGTGCCCTGCCCAGAGGAGGGGGAAGCCAGGGCCCCTTTGGGGGCCAGCTCCCCAACCCCTCCCAGCAGAGGAAACCAGGGTCGGGGCAGCTGTGATTGCTCCCTGGGCCCGGAGAGGAAACTGTTGGGAGGGTTGGGAGGGGAGACTGAGGAGGAAGGGGGCTGGCCTGCTCTGGGGGGCGGAGATGGATTTTCCACTCATGAAGGGGAGGAAAAGGCAGAGGGTGGGGGCTTCCTTGGGAAGCTCAGGGATGAGTCACCAAGGGACAGGGCAGTGGAGGGCGGAGAGGATATGGAGACCAGTCATGCTGGGGGGCTATAGGGTGTCGGCCCAGCAATAATGGGAAACAGTCGACATAGCGGCGAGAGGACTCAAGTTGGACACCAGAAAGATACAACCAGACATCCCCTGGGAAGTGTTACCAAGTCACTGGAGGGTTACGTGCCATGAAGATCTGGTGTACACGCTCTGTGCCTGATGGAGGCAGGACAAGATGAAATTGACCAAGTGTAGCGTGAGAGACTCAGATTAGACAACAGGAAGGACTTGGCTTTGAGAGTCACCACGTTCAAGTTCCGGATTAATTGGCTGGTGTTAGGAAGCAGCGGTGGAGAGAGCACTGAGCTGGCCCCAGGAGGTATGTGCTCTCTTTCCTGCATTAACAGGGGACTTGGGCTTGGTGACCTCTGGGGTCCTGCCCTGATATTAAGTTCTTAGGGCTCGCAGCTGCAAGTGGGACTTGGATCCTGGAGCAGGAGGAGTTGGGATGGACTCTGAGCTCCTCTCTGCCCCTCCCACTGCCCAGTCAGTTATCCTAGAGGCAGGAGAAAAAGATTCCTCGCTGACCATATTGGCCCCTAACATCTGCTCCTCAGGAGGGTCCCCTTGTCATTGGATAGGCATCAGCCTGAAAAGGAGCTCAGTATCTGTTGAACAGCACAGCCCTTGGGTGGTCCTGGGAGGAGACCAAGAGAAAGCTCTGGATGTGGGCCCTGTGCTCAGGGGCTGCTGAGGAAGACCCGTGCCCAGGGGTCAGAGGGAGGCATGGAGGCAAAGAAGCATGGACACGGGCATTGGGGGTGGCCATGGCCCCAAGTGCTGACTGGCCCAGCATCCTAAGTGAGAACAATTTTATTGAATGCGTGAATCAAGACTGAGCTGGGAGAACCTTGTAAGGTGAAATTGTGGGGCTCCAACGGGGACACAGGCTTCTTGGGTGCGGGAAGTTAGAAGCTGGTCTAGGACTTGCCTCATTGGGGAGACCAGCCTCAGAGCAGGCTCAGATGTAGGGGAGGGGCAGCTTGGGAGAGAAGGCAGAGGCAGGGGAGCAGGTAGGGCTGGAGGGTGAGAAGTGGGGAAATAAGCTGTAAGCCAGGGGGTCCCTACAAGAGAGGGGCTGAGGCAGGGGGCAGGGTGTCTGGTCTGCGGGCAGTGAGGGCTTGGAGCCTCCGGCTGGTGGATGGGCTTAGACCCTTGAGCCTATGATCAGCTTAGGCCTCAGAGATTTGCGCTTCCAGACCATCTGCTTTATCCAAAGACTTTCAGCTGATGAGGAGCTGGGAGGCTCAAACAACGTCTTGTCTGAGTCGGAGAGAAGTGACTTGAAGTGCACGCTCTTTCTTGGCAGGTGAGAGGGGCTGAGGTTGCACTGGGCTGGCATCTAGTCTTGGGATTATTGAGGTTAGGCACCGGCAGGCCTTCCTGATAACCCTGCAGCGATGATGATGATGAAGATGATGATAAATGTATTAAGTGTTCATTATGTGCCAGGCAGGGTATTAAAATATTTTATATGCATTTTCTTAGTACTTACAATAATCGTATGAGGTGAGCACTAGTATTACACCCATTTTGCAGATGGGGAAACTAAGACTCAAGGCCACACAGTGTGGAGGCAGCAGAGCCGGGGTCAGAACTGGAGGCTGGCAGGCTCCAGAGCCCTTCTCTTAACCGCAAGGATACACTCTCCCCTGATAGGTCCTGGAGTTTCCTGAAAACTTCTACCTGTCCATCATGTGCAACAATAACTTTGCTTCCCAAGTCTTCCTCACTGAAAGAGACTCCTTTTCTCTCCCTTCTGCATGGGCTGACTCCCGTTTCCTCTGTAGACAGATCCTTATCCAGGGGCAAAGACTATGCCTCGCCCATCAGCCTAGACTCCTGAAGCGGGGGGTGCAGTGAATATATGGTGAACGGTGAGGGGCCTGAACTGCAGGACGTGGTGGGGAAGAGGGTAGAAGTTGAGGTGTGGAGGGTGCAGAAGAGGGAACTGGGGGAGCCCAGGGGATTTGCAATCCCAGCCATGGAATCCTTTCTAGGACCAGGTGTCTCCAGGGCAGGATGGCCCAGGACCTCAGTGAGAAGGAGCTGTTGAAGATGGAGGTGGAGCAGCTGAAGAAGGAAGTGAAGAACACTAGACTTCCGGTGAGCCTCCTCTCCCCTTCCCTGGCCCTCTTCTCTATCCCTTCCTGTTCCTCACGGAGCCAGGACACGAGGAAGGAACAGATGGACAATGGCGTGGTAGGACCTCTCCAGGACAGTAGAAGGAGCAGGAGGTGTCTCTGGGATGGGGTAGGATGTGGGAAGAGGCCAGGGTCTGACCCCACTGAGGTGCACGGGAGAGAACCCGGGAGCTGGAGGGCTCCGTGTGTCCAGCCCTGTCTCCAGGAGGGGCCTGGCCAAGCGGGCCTTGGAGGTAAGAGTTGGGCCATGTGGTTCTGGTCGAGGAACTGACATCCTTCTCCCACTTGCCTGTCCCTTTCATCTTTCTCCTCTCTGCCCCAAAGCCTGTTTTCTTGGGACTGACCAAGGCATGGATCCTGAGCAACAAACAAGAGCTAGAAGCATACTTTGCTTTCTCGCAGATTTCCAAGACAGGAAAGGAAATCAAGGAATATGTGGAGGCTGAAGCAGGAAATGACCCACTTCTCAAAGGCGTCCCTGAGGACAAGAATCCCTTCAAGGAGAAGGGCTCTTGTGTGATCAGCTGATGGTGCCGGTGGCCCTCACCTCAACGTCTGTCCCTCCTCAGCCCCAGTCCTCACCCGGCACCAACTGTCCCGGGACACCCAGCGAACCCAGGAATTTTCACCCTCTCTTAGTCACAGAATGAGTAAAGATACCTGACTGCGTTCATTGTGAATCCGTTCCCCAATCCCGCTTTCAACTCTTTTCTCCCATTGTCTCCTCCGCCTGCTGGGTCCGTGCTGACCACACTTGGAAACACTCTGAGCTTCCCCAGCTTAGCAGTTGGCCCCTGCTGTCGCGGGATCTGAGGTGCCTGCAATATTCTGAGACCCCAGAGGGCAGTCCTTAGGCAACATTCACCCCTCCTTACAACCCCGCCCATCCTTCCCCTCCACTCTCTTCCTAGGAACAAGCATTGCCATCAGAGTACTTTGGGTTGGGAGCCGGAGTTGGGGAATCCTTGCTCCCGTCTCATGTCCCACCCTGTGGTCCTCCTTCTAGTCATTTAGATCACCCCTGATGGCCTGATGACAAAAAGAGTTTGTAAAGACATGATGTCATGATTTATTTACTATTATTGAGGGTCTATTATGTGCTGGGCACTAAAGATTAAAGAGTGAGCAAGACTAACGTGGCTCCTGTTTTCATGGAATTTAGCAGAGAAGACATGGAACAAAGAGTTTACGATTAGATCAGTGAGTGCTGCTATGGGGAAAGGAAAGTCAGGGGTGGTATAGGAGCACACAGCAGACAGACATTGAGGGCCATGCCCAAGGTCAGTGGGAACAGCTGCAGACCAGTGGGGGCAGGGGCAGAACGGGGCGTGGTAAGACATGGGGCTGGAGAGGGAGATAGGGTCAAGTCTTAAAGGACCTTCTGTGAGCTCAGTTAAGAACTTTCCTTTTCACCCTCAGGGCAGTAAGCTTCAGCCTGTGAATGTATTTAAGTAGCCGAGGGACAGGCTTTGATTAGCAGAAGAGAGGCTGGATCCTGGTCGGAGCCGGGAGTACAACGAAGATGGGAAGTGAGGGGCCGGCCTGGTGGTGCAGTGGTTAAGTTCGCACGTTCTGTTTTGGCGGCCCGGGGTTCCCCGGTTCGGATCCCGGGTGAGGACATGGCACCGCTTGGCATGCCATGCTGTGGTAGGCGTCCCACATATAAAGTAGAGGAAGATGGGCACGGATGTTAGCTCAGGGCCAGTCTTCTTCAGCAAAAAGAGGAGGATTTGCAGCAGATGTTAGCTCAGGACTTATCTTCCTGAAAAAAAAAAGAAGAAGAAGGGAACTGATTCCTGGGCCTTGATAGCAAGGTGATTACTATCTAAAGGAGCCACAGACAGACACGTGTGATACAATGTGTTCAGTGCAACCTCAGAGAGGTCTGTGTGGGGTATGATGGGGACCTGTGGAAGGGCTACCAAATCCAGCTGAATGAGTGCATAGCCTCCTGGAAGAGCGGACAGGAAAGGTCTCTAGAAGGAGGTGATGTCCTGAACTGAGTCCTAAAGGGTTAAGTTGTAAATGGGTGGATGGATGGCAAATCTGATTGAAGGCACAGTCTAAACAGAGGCATAGATATGAGAAAAGGAAAGAACCAGAGTTTCAATGCAAACACCAGTCAGGCTGGAGTTGTTGGAATGGCAAGAGACAGGCCTCGGTCCCTAGGATACTCTGGAAAGGTGGAGGTGGAGGTGACCAGAGGGGTCTTGTTTGCTGTACTAAACAACCTCATCGTCTGGGAGTGAGTCGGTAATGTTTGTACTTAGAAAGAAATTGGCTTTTGGTAAGATTGGAACGGGGAAAGAATAAAGGCAGAGAGACAATTAAGGAGGCGATCGTTAGCTCAGGGGAGAGGTGAATTAGGGCAGTGGCTATAAGTCTCTAGAGGGAGAGGTGGGCTGGTGAGACCTGGGGAATAAGGTTTTCAGATCTTGACATCTCATCGAGTGATGGGTGAGGGACAGGAAGTGTCACGGATGACGTCCAAGTTTCTGGTTTGGGGCATTGCTAGAAAGGACTGAAAGCAAGGCTCTAACAACAAAGCTCACGTAATACAGTGACCTGACATAGAGGAGCAGACTCGCTGAGCACCCCTCTCCAGTGCGCCACAGCTGTGCTGTGAGCACGTCCTGCTCCCACTGGTGAGGTCTTGGGCCACTGGTCAGAATCCAGGATCTCCTGGGGAGTGTCCACTCCTTTCCCAATTCCATCCTGACCCCACTTTGCTATTCTGCAACCTAGAAAAAATTCAGACACTCTCAATATACTCCACTCAAAGGAAGGCAAAAAAGAGGAATGAGAAAGAGAAAATATTTAAATATAACAATTCCTTTTTTTTTTTTTTGAGGAAGTTTGGCCCTGAGCTAACTACTGCCAATCCTCCTGTTTTTGCTGAGGAAGACTGGCCCTGAGCTAACATCCATGCCCATCTTCCTCTACTTTATATGTGGGATGCCTACCACAGCATGGCTTTTGCCAAGCGGTGCCATGTCCACACCCGGGATCCAAACCAGCAAACCCTGGTCCACCGAAGCAAAACGTGCGAACTTAACCGCTGCGCCACCGGGCCAACCTCAAATACAACAATTCTTATTTTTTTAAATGGGGAAGGGTGAATATTCCATGTGGCTCCAGCCGTAAAAAAGGAAAAACAGATGGGGTCACAGTCATATGGCTATAGGCCATGTGGCTATGGCTTCTTTCCTCCACCTACCGAGAGCTGTTCTCCTACCTTCAGGCAGAATCTCATGGTTGGAGTTCTTGGTCCAGAGGGTTGACTCCGACCTTTATTCCTAAGGATTTTGAACCCTTAGTGGGACTCTGAGTAGAGCAGTAGTTTCTTCTGTACCCCTTTACTCAGGCCATGATGCCCCAGGTGTTCTCTCAGCTCCACCCATACTCTTCCTGGCCACCCCGAGGTGTGGTGACAATCCTAGGACCCCTGAGCCTCAAGATCAGTCATTGGCCCAACACCCTCCCCCCCTTTCCTGTCTGTTTTCCTAGTGCCAGAAGGAGCCTCAAATGGCTGAGGGTGATCTCAGCTTCCACTTCAAAGGAATTATTATTCTGCGCCCGGTGGCAGCATTCCCTCCTTGCGGCCCGAATCTTCACCTCAGCAAGGTCAGAGGATGAGAATGATCGTTCTGAGAGTGAGTGACTGATGTAAGTGGAGCCATCCATCCCCGCGTCTATCTCATAGATCTTTGAATTGTTTAGCCATGAAAGCATAGCACTGTCTGTCGTTACTGGTTCGGTTCAGGGCACACCCAGCAGCCTTCGGACAGCACCTCATCTTTGCAACGTGGTGTCTCCCAGCTGGCACCAAAGCGGGCCAGTCCTTCATTCTCTAAAGCCACCAGCTTCCACATGATGGACACATGATGACAGCAAATCTTATGGACATTAGCCTCTTGTCTTACTTCTTTTTTTTAATTCAGTAGTTTCATTTTGAAATAATTTTAGATTTACGGAAGAGTTGCCAAGATAGTACAGAAAGTTCCCACATGCACTTCACCCAGCTTCCCCTAATGTTAACATCTTACATAAACATGGTACTTTTACTAAAACTGAGAAATTAACGTCTGCACAATACTATTAATTAAACTCCAGACTCTGTTTAGATTTCCCTGGCTTTTCCACCAATGTTGTCCTTCTGTTCGAGGGTCTGCCTTACACTTTGTGTCTTTCTTCTTTTTGCTTCTTGGTTGGAGATAGCATGGTCTGGGATACCACGGCCAGCTGGAAGACATCCCATAAGCGCATAGATGGGAGCGTTGGCAGAGTCATGGCAGGCAAGGAACAGAAATCCACTTCCTAAATAAGTGCCTATTCCAGTGAGGACAACTCTCTGTCCCCTCCGTTGACCTGCCACCAGAGAACTGGCTGGCTGCCTTGAGGTCAGGTGCTGTATGAGGGGCTCAGGGTCGGCACTGTTGCTGGCTCATTGGGCAGTGGTGGAGCTGCGCTGGGCCGGATGAAGGGCAGCCCATGCTCTCCCACATGCATAACCTCTATTCCTGCCTTGTTTCATGAGCCCTAGTCAGCCCAGTGGTCATCCCATCTACGGGGTTCTAAAGAACCTCTTCTGCAGGGGCTGGCCTTCTGGTAAACCTGCTCGTGACACTTGAATATTTTCAGTCTCTGGCTCATCCTAAGGAGACCAGCCACAGAGCCCTCCCCAGACCTTCTTGTCGTCAGTCCCTCAATTGTACTCTAAGACCTCGATCATCTGACCAGAACCTTAATTGCTTCCCAGGAGTCAGAGAGGAAGGACTTCCTTTCCCCCTGACTTTCGGGGCCATGCTGAGAAGGGCTGTTCGCAGAGAGAGGGGAATCACGGGGCTCCAGGCACTCAGGGAGATTAGGGACTGAACTGGGGAAGTGGAGGAAGAAGGGAGAGGAGGTGACGAATTCGAGGGATAATTAGGAAGTAAAATTTTCAGGGCTTAGAGATTGATCGAAGGTTGGCAGAAAGGCAAGGAAACGATCAAGGACGACCTCACGTTTCTATCTCGGATGACTGAGTGAACAGTGGTGTCACCAGCTGGAAAGCCCTCCCCAGTAGCAGATTCTAGATAATTCCCCCAGGCTCCCCCTCTGTCCCCTTGTGCCCTGCGGAGAATCACTGCTTGGTGGTAGCTGGTACTACAAAAGCAGGTGAGACTGCTTAAGACAGCTGCAAGGATCAAGACGAGAGGAGGCCAAAAATTGAACTTGGAGGGCCAGCCCTGTGGCCGAGTGGTTAAGTTCACGCACTCTGCTTCAGCAGCCCAGGGTTTTGCCCTTTCAGACCCTGGGTGCGGACCTAACACCTCTCATCGGGCCATGCTGAGGTGGTGTCCCATATGCCACAACTAGAAGGACCCACAACTAAAATATACAGCTATGTATTGGGGGGATTTGGGGAGAAGAAGGAAAAATTTTTAAAAAATAAAAAAAGAATTTGAGGGGCTGGCCCCATGGCTGAGTGGTTAAGTTTGTGTGCTCTGCTTCGGTGGCCCAGGGTTTCACCGGTTCGGATCCTGGGCGGGGACATGGCACCGCTCATCAGGCCACGCTGAGGCAGCATCCCATATGCCACAGCTACAAGGACCCACAACTAAAATATACAACTATATACTGGGGGGATTCGGGGAGAAAAAAGCAGAAAGAAAAAAAAAGAAGAAAAAATGTATTACTAAAAAAAAAAAATTGAACTTGGAGAACATCAGCATCTCTGGCTGGGGTAGAAGAAAAGAGCCGTGAAAAGAACTGAGAAGGGAGGGTCAGAAGTGTGAAGATGCCAAGCAAAGACTGGATAATTGAAATTCTGACGGTGCTGAGCAGTAAAACGAGGGCAAGGCAGGAAGAGAGGGGCAGTGCTCTCAACTCCTGATTTCACGGTCAGCTAACATCAAGCTGAGTCATTTTCAAGTTTCAATTCTGTATCACCTTCCTTCCACACTCCACATTCACCAGACACTCCCAGGATGGGATTCCCAGGAGGGCAACGGCTGACCGGTTGATCGGGCCTCAGCTCCTGGGGCTGGCAGCAGCTCGAAACCCTCCTAGTGGATCAGGCAGCCCAGCGCCCGGACCCCTGTGCCTTCTGGATCTCACGCCTGCAGCCTGGAGGGAGTGGAATGGGGATGG